CCATGTTCTCTGGCTTTCTGACATCCTTGGTCCTGACAAGACATCCCGAGACTTGAGTTAGGTGCAAGGCAATGCGAATGACCGGAGCTGCCCCTGTGCCAGCCTGGGGCTCAGGATTCAGAGTTGGGTCACCCGCGTATGTTGGGGGTATCTGAGAGGCCCTGCTGCTCTGCTGCCCCTGCAGGAGGCCTGGGCCTTGAGCAAAATCCCTTTCCCTCCTCCCACTTCTTTCCAGGCTCCTCCTCTGGTTGTCTCTGGCATCGTTTCCGGGGTCTATCACTGTATAGATATATATGCATTTAGCTAATTTTAATTTTCTATTGATTAACACAGAATAATTTTACACTGTTTCTGGGGCACACTGAACTATTCTGACGTACATGTACCCCGTGTCATGATCAGATCCCATTGTTTGCCCTAATTGCACACAGCAGGGAAGAAAAGTTCTCCATCACCTCCTCAAACTGTCTTCATTACACACAAGCTGCTGCCCTTTGCGGGTTTGGCAGGCAAATTAACTGTGACATCCAGGGAACCTTTCGCTGGCCTCAGAGTGAAGGTCAGCAGGCTGCGGCAGTGTAACTCTCTCAACAACTTTTGTATTTAGTGACCACAGCAATTAGAAAGAAGGCCCAGCTCTTTGTAAGACGTTCTAGATAGGTTCCCCTTTTCCCAGTAACAGCGAGAATTCATTTCTTTGCCAGGGTCCCAGAGCAGATGTTCCCTGTCAGGCTGCTCTTTCTGCCAAGCAGTGAGCTTCTGGCCACTAGTGGTCATTGGTCCCCTTTCTGAGCCCTTACTCCTCAACTCCTCAACGCTCCACCTCTACTCCCAAACTATTCCTCTATTCCTACATAATTGACCCACAATTCGCTCCTGGCAGCATCTCCATATTCGAAGCATGCATTACAACAAGCAGGAACAAAAGGTTCAAAAAAAAAAAAGGACATTCTATGGTACAAATTGGCTCATGACTGTTTACACAACCCAGAGAAAGCCCCTCTGTTCACACAGCTGATCAAACACACCTGACGCCGTCCTGCCATTCCCCAACCCCAGCCCCATTAGTAATGACCCATCGTGACTGCAAAGGGCCCAGGGGGGGTCCAAGGGGACAGGACAGAAGATGACACAGCAGTGGCTCTGTCCTCATTCGTGTGCAGCACGCAGGACTTCAGGCCACTGGCCACAAGACCTTCCTACCTGAACAAGTAGAATACACTGCAACAGCGAGCTCACACACAACTCCGGGGGACTTGGGAGCAGAATGGGGCACTGCAGTGAGGGCTTCAGAAGGCCACCACCACACAGATATGCTCAACAGCAAAGAAGCCAATTGTCTAGGAGGCAGAGACAGACACTGCCACTCAGGCACTTTTAATGAAGAAAGTGACAGATGGCATTTCCTTGGAACAGCATCACAGCTGTCGTTCCAACCATCACATCAGCTGTCTGATCCAGGGACAGCATCCCTCTGTCCTAGGAGTAATCAGTTTCCCATTAGCCTTGGGGCCCAGAAGTAAACTTCCAAGGGACTCCTCTTTCTCTTTCTTTTTCTCTTTCTCCAGCTGGGAATTTAAGGCAAGAATAAAGGACAGAGAACACAGGACAGAGAACACAGCCTACCTCCTGGCATACACGTTCACTAACTCCTACCTTGCCATGATCCAGCAGAAGAAATGCCTTTGACCTCATGTTTCCTATGTGGTTCTTCCTAGACCTGTCCCCTTACTGGGAGAGCAGGGTGTCCAGACACCACTGTGGGGCACTTCTGCCAGCCACCAGGATTAAATGGAGTTTATTATCTGATAAGGCTGCATGTGCCCACCCTACACTGTTATTGGTATCACCAGTAACAGCTGCTAACAGCTTGTGTAGCCAGTGGCTGGTGGGCCTGGCTCAGCCACACCAGGGTGTTACACATACACACGTACACAACTCATTCCCAAACTCAACCCACTGGCATGATTTCAGCAAAAAAAAAAAAAAAAAAAGCCTAAAATATCTAGATCACCCCCAACTTTGGTGCTCTTTAAATGTTTCTTTATTTTTACAGTCCTTTGGAGGAGCTATCCTCAAATCACAGGGAGGAAAATTAGAATTAAAGGATGCACAATAAGTAATGGCGTGGGGGCTGGGGAGATGGCTCAGTAGGATAAGTGCTTGACTGGCAAACGCAAGGATCTAAGTTCAATCCCCAGTTCCGCCAAATGAGCTTAAACCCACATTCAGGCTGGCCAGCCTTCCCACCTCACCCTCTATAAGCCCAGGTTGATGGGATTTGTCACCAACAGTCTTATGCTAGAGTTAGATGTGTTGTCATCCCCCGGGGACATCAGAAGCCCAGCAAAGACCACAATCATAGTCACTTCCGTTGGCCAGTTCCATGTCTGGTCTTATGAACATTCATATAGCACCACATCATATTTTCTAATGACATCTACAGTCAAAGTCTGAATGCACCAAAATGTAAACAGTGGTACCATTGGTTACATCACCCTCATCTGATGCCTTATCATTTTTAGACTCCACACGCTACTTAACAGAGACATAATGCTACATCAAGATAAACAAAATTAAATCCACAGCACAGGACTGGTTGTCTCCTAAACCACAGTTTAAAGGAAAATGGTACTCACCAGGTGAGGCATCAGGAGGTCGGCCAGGTAGACGAAAGCAGCCCCAAGTGTGAAGCCAACAGCTACTGGGATGAAGGCAAAAACACCAAAGCCCCCTGACGACGTGGCCATCTCAACTGCTGGGGCCAGGAGAGACCAGTAAGAGGCTGCTAACATGACCTGCAAAACCACAGAGAACAACAAACCACTAAACAAACCAGGTCTCTGAGTAGGGTCCTCTTCTGCTCATGGTCCCATACTAAACCCTACCATTTCACACGTATTGACCCTTTAATCCCAGTTGTTGGGGCTCAACTATCCCACCCAGAAAACCAATCCCTGAACTCATTTTCCTCCTAGAACTAAGTTTGCAAGAACCCACTATGAGCAGGCTAGTTGACCTGAGGAGGATGGAGTTTACTTTGCTGTTGTTTACCCTCAAATTCAGAGGTCCCCAATCAGGGACAATTTTGCACTCCAGGTGACATGAGACCATGTCTGGAGAGATTTTCAGTTGTCACACAGAAGGCAGGGTAGGGAAAGTTGCTACTGGCATCGAATGAGTAGAGGCGCAGGGTACTGGGAAACATCCTATAGTACACAGGGCAGCTCCTGACAACAAAGAATTATCTGTCCCCCAAATGTCAGTAGTAACTTTATTGAGAAATCCTGTTCTAGTTGAATATTTCCAAGACAAATTTCTGATCACTTCATAAGCACCACTGTGTAATAAATAACACAGCTATAATCATTACAGAAGTCTTCTCTATGCTGAACTGAAATCTGTCTCCCACTTTTATGTGCTAGCTCTCTTTGCTCTGCTGCACCAAATAATGTGCCTTTCTTCTGTGCCATGTGACTCCCTGTGAAGTATTTGAAGTCCACCAATAAGTCAAACTGATCTCGTCAGTTTTCTGATCTCTAGAAAGGAAGAAAGGAACTAACATATACCCATCGCTTACTCTTTCCAGAGCTCAGAGTTTACATTTGATAGCATCATAACAGCCCCAGGAGGCAGATAATGTTTTCTACTGCTATTTGTAGATAAAGAAATGAAATGTGGAATAATAGGGCAATTTGCCCTTTTCAAATAGGCAATAAGAGGCAGATCCAGGAACTGGCCAAGCAGGGCCACAATCAAATTAGGGAAGGGAGAAGTGAAGAAGAAGAGAAAAATGACGCTAGTCTCCACTCTCTGCATGTCACTTTGATGAACAGTTCTCCAGCACTGACCAAATGACTCACCCATGGTTGTTCACTCTTACAGATGACGTGACGCCCATCTTGGCTAGAGTACGCCCACCACTCAGCGTAACCATATGATTGTCATCATCAGCATGTAAAATGTTGAATGGGTTTCTAAAAATTACCTAATTATGCCCCGTCTTTAAAATACACCTGCATCACCCAGCTCCAAAATAACATTCAGAGTGACAGACCCAGCAATTACCCAACAGCAGTGAAGAACAAAGCCCTGCATAAAGCCATGAGTTTCCCTCTGCCACCAACCATGTACATGGAGCTGCTTGCTCTGGGCCAAATTCCCCCAGGAGAAATCTGAGAGGGCACCCCAAGAAAGAATGCATTTGCCTCTTGAACCCCAAGAAAGAAGGACAGTATCTCATCTAAACAGGACAGAAGCCGAGGTTGACCGGGCCAACTCCATGACCCAGGCTGCCGTGAAAGGCCATCAGAGGAAGCCTGACAACTCCTTTGCGCTGCTGCAACCCCATCCATCCCCCTTTCAAAATTCATCTCACTAGCTTTGGAATCCAACAGCCCTTGGCAGGTCTCCATGAGCAAGGACCAGAAATACAGATGTCCTTCCTCTTTTTAAACTCAAATTGGAACCATCTAGTAATCAATCCCTCTCATGCTCTCTCCTCTCTCTTCTCCCCTCCTCTGATTTCAGGGCTTCTCATACAGCCCCACAACCCAAAAGCCAATGTCCACACTCTATCTCAGGAGAAAGAGACTTGGAATTCCTATCAGCATCACTTCAGCCCTATTACTCATCCCCTTTCAATACTGAGTCCAAAAACTCCCTTCTATGGCTTTGCATCACCAATTCTTTCCTTTCCCTCTGGGTGACATGCGCACAAAGTTCTCACAGACAAGTCACTCTGTGGAGAGCAGCAAGGTGTGCTGCTCAAGGGAAGGTGTGCTGGGGTCGGGGATGTTTGAACAGAAAACCCCACCAGGTGAAGTAGGTGAGTCCCTTCTTTGGGAATCCCTGGTCTTTATCTTTCCAGTCAAATCTAGAGCACCACCAGATTTCTTTCTTTCCTTTTCCTTGCGCAATCTCCTTGACTCTCACATAACTGAAAAATGACCCGAGATCAGTCTCATAAATGGCACTGGATGGCCAATGTTAAAATGACCACAGTGCCCACAGAAAACATTTAAAACACATGTGTGGTAGACAAGGTGACTATGACCTAATAACCCAAACCTGGGAGCATTTCACCTTACACGGTAAAAGGGGATGTGCTTAAACTGGGGACTCTGAGATGGGGAGATGATCCTGGATTGCCTGAGCAGGGCCAGTGTCATCCCAGATGTCCCCATGAGGGAGTAAGAGAGGACTGGGTCACAATCCACTGTGACAACAATCCACAGCCATTCCACTTCGATGAAGCATCCAATCAAGGTAAATCCACTGAGTCAGAAAGCAAATGAGTGGTTAACAGGGGACACAGAAAGGGGAGATACGGGAGTGATTGTGGGTTAGGTTCCTGCAGCATGAACCCCCTAGACCTTGCTCGGGCCAGGGTGGAAGGTGGGCTTGCGCGGCTCCATGCGCTGCCACATGGTGGTGTTGGACAGAGTGGTTGTTCAGTTTCAGTTGCCTGAACAAGTTCTCCATCATGCTTGCTCAGGAAGGCAAGCAATGGGAGAGGAGGAGTCTGAATGAGTGACTACGAAGTGAGTCAGTGCTCACTTTTTAGCAAATGCCCAACTTTTAATGTTATTGCTTTTTTTTTTTAACCTTCCACACTCTGATGCCTCCACTCCCATGCAAACACTGGTTGAGTAATTGCTTAATATAGTGGAGTTTGTCATGAGCATGGCAAGTGTTCAATGTCAAACTGCCAAACTATTATGGTTAATCCATTGAACAGTCTGCTGATCAAATCACAGACTCATTTAGTGTTGACTTTAAGAAAAGCTACATCGTTAACAGACAGAAAAGGTAAGACCCAAAGACAAGCAGTGGTTTTTCCCAAGATCCACGAGCAAGCCAATGCCACCCAAAGGCAACTATGCCATCTCCAGATGAACTCAGCACCACCCTGAACCCTACCTGGACTTCTTCTAAGAACTTCTGAAAGCTACAGGGTAGAAGTCCCAGCCCAGCCCTCATCAAACAAAGAATCCCAGAACCAATATCTGGGCTGAATGTAGAATGGTAACTGTCAAAAATACAAAAGGTAGCATTAGTGTTGACAAGGACATGGTGAAAGGGAACACTTGGACATCACTGATGGGTATGTAAGTTTGGGCAGCCATGGTGGAAAATAATGGGGAAGTTCCTCAAAACATTAAAATTAGAACTACCCTATGGTCCAACAACCCCACTAGGAGTTTATATCCAAAGGAAATAAGACCCGTATGTCAAATTGGGTCTGCACTTTCATGTTTATTACAGCGCTGCTCACAGTGTTGCCAAGTTCTGAAGGGCTGTACTTTTTCTAGGTGTCCTTCACCAGCTCTGTCACCTTAAACAAAGACTTGAGCAAGATATGAGGTAGCAAGTTGCTTTATATTAAAAGTAAAGTGGGGGGGGGGAGTGTTCTAAGGAGAAGCACTCTGCAGAATAAGTGTGAGAAAGGAAAGCACACCCTAGTGCAGAGTGGGCCACTGAAAGCAAAGGCAGTGTCCTCAAGGCCAAAGGCCACTACCTTTTGGATCCCTGTTCTGGTGTCACATCTAGACTGTCCTAAGAAAACCCTGCTTGCATTCTCTGCATGGCACCAGGTATGGGACTCAGGAATTGTTGCACGCATGCATTGACTCTCCGTGATTGACAGGTCACGCCCACTTGCCTGGCCAGTTCACCACACCCTAATCACCCACCTGAACAGTAGTCAACATATAAAGGAAATGCAGTACTGAAGCACAATGGAATACTCTCCACCAGAAAGATGAAATCTTATCATTGACAACAAGATGGATAGAACTGGAGGGCATCATGTTACATGAAATACGCCTAGCACAGGGAGACAAACACAACGTGCTATTACTCATATACGGAACCTAGAAAAGCTGCTCTCCTAGCGATAGAGAGGAGGCATCCTTGACCTCATTTCACAATGGTACTCCAAAGGGATGGAGAGTAGAACAGTGGGTACCAGAGACTGAAAAGGATGGAGAGCCGTTAATGGATATAAAGGTACAGTTAGACTGGCAGAATAAGTTCTAATTTTCTATTGTACAGTAAGATAAACATGGCAGTAATGTACACTTCAAAACAGCTAGAAGGATCTCAAATGATCTTACAAGAAGGAAATGAATATTTAAGGTGATAGATATGTTAATTAACCTGATGTGATTGCTACATAATGAATATACATACAGCAGTGCCACACTGATACATAGATATAGATAGATAGATAGATAGATAGATAGATAGATAGATAGAGCACATTACGGCTTATGGGCATATAATGTGTTGATTTTCAAAATTAACAAATTTTAAAAGTCTGAAAGGAGTTAATGTCAGCCATAAATTAACATAATTGATCCTGCCAGCATTTCCCAATATTGTGATAAAAGCTGCTCCAAGAAGAACCACAACTAGAAAATGTTGGCAACTAATAAACAGCGGTAATGAACCTGCTAAATGCTTGCCTCTGGAAGATTAATTAGATCTCACCGATGTAAATCTATTAATAGACCCTGCCTGCCTTAGAAGTAGGTAGGGAAACAAGCAATTAAGTAACAGTATAATCCTCTCCTAGCAGCATAACTAATGCCAGGGGGTTCAAAGCAAAACATACACACATCACGCCTCTGGTCCAGGCCTCTGACTCGCAGGCACAGGAAATGACTTCCTCCATCATCAGAGACACTTAAAGGAAGAAGAAGCCGAATGTGTGATGCACCCTGGAAGAGACTGAGGAACAGAAGCAAGGTCTGGGTAGGAAAGCTGGTGCTCTCCAGAGAACTATGGAGTTTAA